GACTCGACGGCACTTAACAACAACAACAACAATCACCAGAAACAAGAAAGCAAAATATAAAAAAAGAGGAAAAAAAATCGGTGGAGGACAGGGCAGGGCACCCAGGCTCCATAACACAGACTTTGATGGCGTTCTGTGGGCCCAGAAGGTAGGTGGGAGTGGGAGATGGCTGCACCTCCATTCACCAAGCGGGTGTGGGGTATAAGAGTAATAAGAAGAATGTTGTACCTTTTCAGTCTTGCAGGTCCGGAGGGTCCTTGGGGTTGCTGGAAAGCAGAACGTGTTCTTAAGTCTCAGGAACCTGCAAGAGCACTGTCTCTTTAAATATCCAAAATAGTCAAGCCGCTTTTAAACATTAAAAATGGCGGTGCCCTTCTGACCAACAAAAGTCAACAGCTCAGCCCACCTGTTTCTTCACCTTCTCTGTTTATTCCCCAGTCACCAGAGCAGTCCTTCATGCAGTCCCTGGCTAGCAGGGCTGATTTTTAGGTTAATTCTTAGGTCCTGCCACCACTCAGGAATCTCCAAGCTGTCTGTGCCGTCAGGATCTCTCAGGATCGCAGCTGGACCGCAGTTCCATCTGTCTCCTTTTTTGGTATTTTCATGCAAATTCTTCTGCTAGTTGGGGTTTAGTCCACTTCTGTATCCTTCCCTTCAAGGCTCAGTGGTCCAGTATTATCTTCTGTGTGTGTGTTAATTGGTTCCCCTTTTCTTTGTTGAAGAGGGTCTGTGCAGTCTTTCTGCCTAGTATGCCATCTTACCGGAACTCCCCACAGTATGTTCTTAATCATAGAATTCTAGAAGACCATGTAAACATAGAAATTAAAATTCATATATCTGACCAGTGGAAAAAAATAATGTGTTTTATTCCCATAGGACACACTGATTAAGGCAATAAATATGCCTAAAAACAAAGTTATTTCACTTTACAACTTTTTTTTTTTTTTTTTTTGGAAAAAAATACTTCATTAAAGAAAACCTTCCAGTGCTTAGTATTGGTATGGGAATGTGCTTTAGGTTTATGTGCTTGCAGCTAGAAAATTATTTCAACCTAGACATTTTTAGCTCTGGAAATAAGTACATATAATACCTTGCATGCTCTTTCTTGCTTTCATGTGTGCCAATCCTTCTGCCTTACAAGCTGTTTCTCACCTCTTTGCCAATCTTGGCTAACTCTCTTTTGAAATTAAGACTCAATTCAAGCACTACCTTCTTGGGGACACAACTCCTTTCTGCATTGGATTATGTGCCCCTCCTCTGTGCCTTGGAAGCATCTCATGCATGACATTTGTCACATTATTTCATAATCATTTGTCTTTCTTCCAAGATTATAAGTTCCCTAATACAGGTAGTACATCTTTTATTTATATCACTATAGTCCCTAGCCCAATACTTGAAACATGATGCTGTTTTTTTTTTTTAATTGACTGAGTTGAACAAGAGAAGGCAAAAGAATCATTATACAGTGAAGCCTGTGACAGCTGGAACTCAACGAGACTGCCTTGTTGTTCTGGATCTCGAAAGTTTTCCACCTTTGACAAAGTGCAGTCTTATCATTTTTCTGTTACTCATTTTAGTGGAAAATATTTTAATTTTCTTTCTTGACAGATTTCTACCTTATACAGTTTCTGGTTTTGGCAGTTTTTACTTAATAAACAAATAAAAAAAAATACATTTATTAGCTTTTACTACTAAAGAAAATCAATTTGCCCATATATCTTCTAGTACTCTACTATCAGCTTGATATGTCAGGTGATAATGTTTATTTTTTGATTTAGGTGTTTACTGTTGGTAGAATTTGTGCTGCTCGTACCAAGATTTATCATAAACTGAAGCATTTTAAATACAAGCTCTACCAGGAATGTTGCTCCACTGCGAAGACAGAAGAAGTAGAAGATGAACTGGTTAAAGAAACAGTGGACAGAATTTTCAGCCAGTCAAGAGAAAGTGGCTGGATTAAGGAGGTAAAATGAATATATAAGAACCATCGCATTCAGTAGAGTCTGGAACCTAATTATTATTAGCCAAAGGATACAAATGATTAGAAGAAAGTGAAATTTAAAAGTGACTCTCTTTCACTGTTTTTGTATCTTCTTTTCTTCCACCTGTTTGTTTCATGCTTATTATTGTTCTGCCCTGAATAGGTGCCCATATGTTCTAAGCATTCACTTAGCTCATCAGATAAAATTGTAGTAAGCAGTAATATTGTCACTTAATGAAAAGTCTCTGTCCTTTCATTTTTACACATGTAGTCTCCCTTGCAAATACACATCTCTTTATATTATTTGACAAAGTATAGTACTCACCTGTGCTTGTCTCCTTCCTTAATCTTTAGAACAGTTCTTGTGACCTGAGAGTGAAGAAGCACCTGGTGCCAATGTAAGGAAAGGATCTTGGTTGCCAATTCATATACCACCCACGTGCTCTTCTTGAGGACTTGGGATTGAGCAGTGAGCATTTTTACTGAAGATCAAGGGGAATTCAGAGGTCTCAGGCAATGGCACTGATTTTGATTCCCCCCATCCTGTTGATTATTAAATTTGATATAAGAGATAAAGTGGGGATTTAAAAAAAGTGCACTGGATTCCTGAAGCTCTACTGGCGGTTTATAAGCTCTGGTCTGCTCACAAAGCTTTTTGAATTGTTTATGGTACATGGAAAGACTGCTAATATAATTTCAGTCTTCTAAAACAAGTCCAGTTACATGAATATGTAAGAGAGACAAAAAGTAGATTTTTAGGCAACAGTATTTTTAATCTTTTTTTTTTTTTAAAAAAAAGCCTGACCTGAGATCCACTGCCTGGGTTATATCATAGGGAAACTGGTAAAGGAGGGAAATAAATTAGAAGGGAAGAGAACTTAGACAATAAACTTACGAGCAAAAAGAAAAGAGAACAGCAAAAAAGGAACTTAGAGCTCAGTGGAGGTCTCCTTTGTCTGGAGAATGACATCACTATTGATTTTCCTTTTTGACAGTCATCCTCCCACCATAGCCACCATCCAGTAATCCCCTGGTCTGCCCCTCATATCTTGACCTGTTAGTGGTCTTTCCCATATTTTAATCTCTTCAGTTTTTTATCTTTTACATTGTTTCTACTTCTCATGTCCCCTGCCAATTAGACTGACTTTGTTCTTCTCCCTGCACCTATCTTTCTATGCTTTACCATTTGCCTTATCACTTATCCAATAACCTTCCCACTCCCGTCTTCATTTTCCTAAACCAAAACCAAACCAAACTCCCTGCCAATGAGTTGATCACGACTCACAGCAAACCCTCCTTGGGTTTCTGAGGTGGTATCTCTACGGTAGTAGATTGCCCAGTCTTCTTTCCAAGGAATGGCTGCTGGGTTTGAACTGCCAGCCTTCTGGTTAGGAGTCAGATGCGTTAGGCACTACACCACCAGAGCTCCCAGTTTCCTTAGAGTTTCCTCTCTCACTTTCCTAGGCAACATTAAATTCTTAAGTGCTTTAATTGATGCATTTTAAGTGTTACCAAACCTTAGGTAGACTTGAAAGAATTAGTGGGCCGCCACATTCATAAAGAATTGGGTATAGGTATAGAAAACACACTGTACATATATTACAGGTTTATTATTAATATAGAATAATGTTATAATAAAGGAGAAAAATAAAAAGCATCTTCATGCAGCTCTCCACCACTTGTCTGTCAGTTTGTTGTACTGTGGTGGCTTACATGTTGCTGTGAGTCTGGAGGCTATGCCACCAGTATTTCAAATATGAACTGGGTCACCCATGGTGGACAGGTTTCAGTGGAGCTTCTAGACTAAGACACATTTGGAAGAAGGAAGGGGCCATCCACTTTTCAAAGAATTGGCCAGTGAAAACCTTATGAATAGCAGTGAAACACTGTCTGATACATTACCCTAAAACGTTAGGATTGTGAGGCTGGCACAGGACTGGGCAGTGTTTCGTTCTGTTGTACATAGAGCTGCTATGAGTCAGAGCCATCTCAGTGGCACCTAACAACAACAACAGGAGCTTAGAGAAATCTTAATGAAGTTTGGGATAACAAAAGGAACTAGGAATAAAAAAAAAAATTCTTTTTTCTAGAAAATTAGAAAAAGAAAGCTAAGTGTTAAAGAATAACACTTAACATTGCGCATTGAAGGTATTTCAAGGTCATGTTTGTTTAGGACAATAAGAATGTTATAAACACATAGAAGTTTATAGCCAATATAAACCTATATGCAATTTGTTGTGCTGTGATTAAATTTGAAAATTTGTCAGGTGCTCAGACATTTCTTAGCTTGATTCTGTCCATCCCTGTATGTGTCTTTGAGTAATTGCCCTGCATATATTCTTATAATGAGTGCTTCCTTCTTTGGCTGCAGTCTCATGGCCCCAGCTATTACAACCTTTTAGAATTCCTTGGACAAATATGATACTTGAATGCCCATATCTATGGCTTATTTTGGGAGCTCTGGTAGTGCAGTGCCAACAAGAAGGCTGGCGGTTCAAACCCACCAGCTACTCCTGGGAAGGAAGGTTGAGCAATCTACTTCCATAGTGATACTGCCTCGGAAACCCAAATAGGGGTCGCTATGAGTCGGGTCCAACTTGACAGCACATAACAACAACAACAACATGGCTTATTTCACTCTAACTCACAATGATGTCAGCCCCTTCTTTTGCCTTTCACAGTGGTTTTAACTCCCCCAGCTTGTGTTTTAGACTTTGCTTTTTCCTTTATTCGCCCATTCTTCCTCCAAACATTTTTCTTCCATTATCTCAGGATATGTTAGCACTTCTTCCCAAAGACCTGCCAATTAGACTTCACTTTGTTCTTTCTGCTTCTTCCTAATCCTTGAACTAGGATAATCTCTTTTTAATCTAATGATATTAAAGAGGTACGAACAACTCAAATATAAGAAAAGAACAAATGATTAAAAATTATAATAAAAAATTATAATGATTGTAATAATAATATATGTGTTATTCTAAAAGAGTTGAAAAATATACTATAGTATGTCACTGGCAAAATTTTAACTTTTTTCATTAAGAAGAAAGTGCATATGATGATGAGGTTTCTAGGGAAGTTCATAGGTTTGTGGGGATGGGGTGGTAGGTACATGAGAACCCAAGTTTCAGTATTACAGTTGATTTTAAAGTAATTTTTAAACATATTGCATAAATACTGTTACATAAGAATTTAAAATTTTAATTGAATATCTCTCCTGTTCCTGAAACTTTTCTCATTTGTTCTTTTCCCTTTGTAAACTTTTTCCTCTATTTTTCTTCCACTCTTTAAACTAGCACTTCTCAAAACATGGCCCTAAACTACTTATATTAAAATAACCTAGGAGTTTGTGTGGAGCCTCTAGGTGGTGCAAATAGTTATGCACTGGACTACTAACCCAAAGGTTGGTGGTTCAAACCCACCTGGAGGTGTCATAGAAGATAAGGCCTGGTCACATCCGTGGAAGCCCTATAGAGCACAAAGTATAGAACACATAATACGTGGGGTCTCCATGAGATGGTAACTTGAGTTTTTTGGTTAGGAGTTTTGTACAAAAATCCATAATCCCTGGCCTTACCCCAAGCCTACTGGTTGAGAATTCTTGGGGGGTGATAAACACCTAATATTTAAGTAAGTGATTCTTAGGCAAATTAAAGATTGAGGGATACTGCTTAAAAGAACATGTTGTACTAAGTTCTTCCTCTGCCTCTAAGCTCTTTCCCTTGGCACATCCATCCCTTTTTGCAGTATACTGGGCGGAAGACTCCACATGCTTCCTTTTATGTTCTGACCTCTCTCCCATACTCCATTCTCATAATTCCAACTATTTTCATTGATCAGTCCCTCTGGCACTACTAGAGAGTTGTCTTCATTATTAATTAAAACTCTCCACATTTTTAGTAAAGAAAAACTATGGAAGGAAAATGATATAGGTCAGGAGGATAGCCAAGTAATAGTAATTGCCTTCTCTCTGAGTTTTACTTTCCCATTTGAGATTTTTTTTTTTTTCACTGTAATGCTGTGCCCTTCCCCCACTATTGAAATCTCAGAAATAGTATAATATAATAATTAAAAGCATGGTTTTGAATATTTGCTCTGCCACTTACTTGCTGTAGAATTTTAGGACAAATTATTTCTGCAAGCCTAAGTTTTCTCATCTGTAATAGGAACAAAAACAATAATAATTAGAGTTAGGGATAACACATTTTAAACATTTGGTATACCAGAAAGCAAACCCACTGCCATTGAGTCAGTTCTGACTCATAGCAATCTAGCAAATAGTAAGTGAACAATAAATGTTACCTGTTTTTAGTAGCAAGGAAAGCTTTTCCTCTTCTTTCCTTAGTAGAGCTGAGATAGATTATAATTGTCCAAAAGAAATCTATAAAATAATAGTAAAAAGGATATAAAGAAAATTAATATAAAAAGCTGAAAAATAGCCAAACCTTCATACAGGATTTTAATCCTAGAGTACCTATATCTAATGGAAGCTGTCTGAGTACTAGGCCAAGAGAATCCTTAGGCTCTTTCCCCTCAAGTTCCTTTCTTCATCCTTTCCAGAAGAAGTGATCCAGTCACAGAGATCTGAGGGTGGAACAAGGTTTCATAACCCATGTCCTTAAGGAAACCGCAGTCTTCAAGTACCCTTCTGTGGGTCTCTGTGACCACAAAAATGTGGCTCAGCAGAATCCCCCCATTGGATTTAGAATTATAGTTCATAAATAGAATCAAGAAACCATTGGATCATTCAATTTCCTCATCTGAAGTAACTTTCTACATTTAAAAAACCAAACTCACTGCCATTGAGTTGATGCCAACTCATAGTGACCCTATAGAACAGAGTAGAACTGGCCCAAAGGGTTTCCAAAGCTATAAATCTTTACCAAAGCAGACTGCTTCATCTTTCTCCTGTGGTACAGCTGGTGGGTTTGAAACACTAACCTTTTGGTTACCAGCCAAATACTTTAACCACTGCACCATCATAGCTCTTTACTTTCCTCATATGTACTTGGAATTCTCTGTGCCTGAAAGTGATCACATGTATTTCTTCCCTTCCCCCAACCTGCCTGAGAAGTAGCCCTGTCCTTCTCCTACTCTCTCAACCCTGAACCCTCCAAATCATCCTTGACCCCTCTCTTAACTTGTTCTACCTTCCTCTTTGTTTTCCCTCACTGCTGTCACACACATCTGGGCTCTCATTGCCTGACTCATAGCCATTTGCCATACTGTTCTAAATGTGGCTGTTTTACCAGGTTTGAGTCCCCTGCTCAAGCTTTAGCCGCTTTCCATTGCCTATCAAATTTTTACTAAACTCCTTAACCTAACATTTCATATTTTTTATTCTCTTATCTCAACCTTTTTTGGTGTAGACTTCTTTCTCTGTTCCCCTAAATAAGCTCAGATTATAGCCATATCTTGTATTTTTTTCTCATGTCACTATTAGATGGACTGTAATTTCCTACAGAGTTGCCTCCATCAAATTTTTACCTACTGAATATTTTTCTACCGTGCACAACTTAAAAGCCAGTTTTTCCATGAAGTCTTTTCCTGTCTACCTCAACTAACCATGACCTCTCTTCTGAAACTCCATAAAAGAGTGGTGACTATCCTTCTTTATGGCACTTACTATTGATTGTTGTTGGTATATTGCTGCTAAAGTGTACTCATGGTAGGAGCAGGAAGGTATCTTAGGTTTCTTGTACCTAGACATTCACTAGCAAAATATTTGATATATTTTGTGCATTCAATAAAATTGTTAAATAAATAATTAGACTCATTACATTTCTTTTATAGAAACAGTAGAAAAATTGTGAGCATTATGAAAATACAATAATAATATAATCATTTTGAACTCTTTCCATTGTTTTCTGTGAGTTAGAAATGCTTATTCTAAATTGAATTCCTGTTTATAATAAAAATGATTTTGTTCACAATTATCATGAAATGTGTTTGTTCCTGTTTGTGGCTGTAGGTTGAAAAGCCCTAGTTTGTTTTCATGTTCTTTGAGTTAAATAACTGGCTTTTTTATTGTACATGCAGAAATATGGTCAACTTGAAGAATATCTCAATTTGGCGGATTACTTTCAAGATGAGAAGTTTGACTGAATCATAGCACATTACTTCCTTCAGAGAAGATTTTATAAATTCCTGTAAATGCAACAATCATGACTCTTGTGTACCTATATTACATGATGTGTATTTATATATTTTATGTATATCTTCATGGCAGAATATCTTGTTTAAAACATGTTCTTCTTAATTTCCATGAAATGAAACTCTATAGCTTAATAAAACTTTTGTCTAATGTACATAGAAAACATAATCTGAATAATTTTTAAGTCATCAAATATATTATAAAATTATGTAACAGTGAAGAAGGACAAAGGGAAACAAACACAGGGAGGAAGTGGGAAGGGTGCTGTTACATTTCAGGGATTGCAATCAGTGTCACAAAACAAAATGTGTATGAATTGTTGACTGGAAAACCAATTTGCTCTGTAAACTTTCACCCAAATCACAGTAAAAAGTTTTAAATAAATAAAAACTTTATAACAATGACTTTATACCAGGTGACTGTCAAGTGAATGAGCTGTTCATGTCCTGTTGGTTAAATAGAAATATAATGTGTTTTAAAATGTATTTAAGTCTAACATCTGTGTGTATTTATTGCCTTTAATCCCTGCCTGTATCTTTTGATTACCCATTTGCAGTATTAAATGATCTTCACTAATACATTTTGCCTACTATCATTATCTAAATCAGTGGTCCATAAAAGAAGGTATTACTCACCTTGTCAGGGAATCAAACTGAGCTACCTATTCCAAATAGAAGAGTGCTTTCTTCTTTCCCTAAACTTTCCCTTAGAAATGGATTTCAGACCTCCAGAGTCTTCTAACCTTCACATTGAGGAATAATTTCATTGTATTTTCATGGTTTATAATGTACTTTCTTTTTTCTAATCAATTTTATGTAGATGCTAATGATTAAAATGTATTTTATTTATAACTTTTCCCATACAAGTATGTGTGTTCAGATCAAAAGATCATGGAGACAAAACTACTTTAAAATTGTGTTTTGTCATCCGCATTATTTTACACATCCACGTTTTCTCTTAATAAAGTAAAATAAGGTGAACAAATGGACCCTGTCTATTGTATATTTAATTCTTTGAAAGTGGTGTTCTAATAGAATCTATTCTACTGTGGTGGTTTAGATACTAGTGTCTTACTGGAAATGTTGGTTGAATCCGGTTTCATCTGTAAATTGGTTAATGGCATGCACCTCACAGTGTATGTGCATACTTTAAAAGCTGCAGTTTATTAAGTCTTTACCTGGAGATGACTTAATGTTTTTTGCAACTCATTTCCTGAAATTATCCCAATTATTATAAACTAACTGGCCAAAAAAAAGTGAAGGTGCTGAAGTTTAATGTGGTGGTGGTGGTAGGTGCCATTGAGTCGGCTCCAACTCATAGTGACCCTATGTACAACAGAGTGAAACACTGCCTGGTCCTGTGCCAGGCTTATGATCCTTGCTATACCTGAGCCCATCATTGCAGCCACTGTGTCAACAGTCTGTCTCGTTGAGGGCCTAACGCTTTTTCGTTGATCCTCCACTTTACCAAGAATGATATCCTTCTCCAAAGAATGGTCCCTTCTGACAACATGACCAAACTAAGTGAGATGAATTCTGGCCATTCTTGCTTCCAAGGAGCATTCCGGTTGCACTTCTTCCAGGACAGATTTGTTCGTAGTTTTGGCAGTCCATGGTATTTCAGTATTCTTTGCCAACACTACAACTCAAAAGCATCAATTCTTTGGGCTCTCACATGCATATGAGGCAATTGAACATACTTTGGCTTGGGTTAGGCACACCTTAGTCTTCAAGGAGACATTTTTGCTCCCCAGCACTTTTTTTTTTTTTTTTTTTTAGGATTTGGGTGAAGATTTACAGAGTAAATTCACTTTTCATACAGCAGTTCACATATACTTTGTCTCATGTCATTGACCAAAATTTACAATGCAGCAGCTCCCCTCCCACTTCCTCCCCACAGTCACCTCCTCCCAGTGTCCATCCCTTCATACTCTTCGAGAGGCCCATTGTCTGCCAACCCTGTATATGATCTTGGATACACTCTCCATTTAGACATACATAATTGTTTAGCTTGTTCACCCATCTATCCGTCCCTATGCCCATGTTTGCTTTCATTGACAACTCAGTATTGTATTTACAAAGGGGTTCATATTTGTTGTTTGTACTGCCCATGTAACTCTCTCTGTCTTTCTCATCCTCAATGCTGCCATATTGGTCACTCACATTTGGTACATTGCCCTTCTCTTCACCCAAATCAATATTTATCTATCTAACAGCATTCCCTCCCCTTCCCTCCCACCCCTGGTAACCAACAAAGAAAATGTCCTCCAATATATAAACCTTTCCTTAACTTTCACAATAACGGACTAATACAATATTTGTCCTTTTGTGACTGACTTATTTCACTCAGCATAATGTCCTCCAAGTTCATCCACGTTATGCGGTGTTTTGCAGATTTTACATTATTCTTTAGCGTTGCATAGTATTCCATTGTGTGAATGTACCAAAGTTTGGTTATCCATTCCTCAGTTGTTGGACATCTAGGTTGTTTCCAAGTTTTGGCTATTGTAAATAGTGCTGCGATGAACATCGGCATGCATATATCTGTTCTTGTTATGGCTCTCACTTCTTTAGGGTATATACCTAGTAATGGGATGGCTGGGTCAAATGGTATTTGTATTTCCAACTTTTGAAGGAATCGCCATACTGCTTTCCACAATGGTTGTACCATTTTACAGTCCCACCAGCAGTGTATGAGAGTCCCAATCTCTCCACAACCTCGCCAGCATTTGTTATTTTCTGTCTTGTTGAACTTTGCTACTAGTGCTGGAGCAAGATGGTATCTCATTGTTGTTTTGATTTGCATCTCTCTAATAGCTAATGATCGTGAGCATTTCTTCATATGTTTGTTGGCCGCTTGAATATCCTCCTTGGTGAAGTGTCTATTCATGTCTTCTGCCCATTTTTTAATTGGATTGTTTGTCTTTTTGTTATTGAGGTGTTGGAGTGTTCTATAAATTCTAGAGGTAAGTCCCTTGTCAGATATGTTATTACCAAATATTTTTTCCCAATCTGTAGGTTCTCTTTTGACTCTTTTGGAGAAGTCTTTGGAAGCACATAAACATTTAATTTTTAGAAGGTCCCAATCATCTGGCTTCTCTTCTGCTGTTGGTGCATTTTGAATTATGCTTGGTAGTCTATTTATACCAAATATTAGGGCCCTTAAGTTTGAGCCTAAATTTTCCTTGAGAAACTGTGTAGTTCTAGGTTTCACATTTAAGTCTTTGATCCATCTGGAGTTTATTTTTGTGTGTGGTGTGAGGTACAGATCTTGTTTCATTTTTCTGCACATGGATCTCCAGTTTTGCCAGCACCATTTATTAAACAAACATTCTCTTCCCCACTTAATGGATTTGGGGCCTTTGTCAAAGATCAGCTGACTATAGGTCGATGGATCTATATCTGGGTTCTCAATTCTATTCCATTGGTCTATGTATCTGTGCTCCCCAGCACTTTAAAGAGGACTTTTGCAACAGATTTTCCCAGTATGGAGCATATCAAAAGAATGAAATAGAAATTTAAGTCACATGTCTCTATCCTTACATTTTTCTGGCATATAGAAATAATTCTTAATTCCAGGGGATAAAAATGAAGCCAGAGTTGGAAGGTGAAAAGGAAGTGAGTGTCCAGAAAGCAGCAAGATAACAGTTTGAGAAGTGACAGTCAAGTTGAGATGATTTCTAAAAAAGACAAAGACCAGAGAAAGTGAGAATTCACTCAAAGGTATTTCTGATGACTCTCAAAGCAGCACTTCTCATACAGTGACACTGTAAATTGGACTGAGACAACTCAAGAATGAAAGAGTTCCAGCTAGTGTGCTTTTTAATTAATTAATTTATTTTTTTTATCATTTTTAGTGTGTTTGGTTTGTAACATTTAAGATAATGATTCCAAGACCAATGATGGCAGCTGGCTCAGTTCCTATGTTAGGCATCATTTTGGTTTGAAGCACTTTCCTTGTCAAGACAGCATTCTGGCTGTTGATCAGAAGATGCCAGTAGTTTTTCTCATGTCTGAGGTCATTGCAACTGAGCAACCTACTTCAGTGGGTGTTTGGAGGATACTAGAGGCTTTCAAGGAGGTCTGGTAGTATAGTGCCTAAGGCACTTGACTGCTAACCAGAAAGTTGGCAGTTCAAACCCACCAGCCACTCCTGGGAAGGAAGGTTGGGCAATCTACCTCTGTAGTGATACCACCTCAGAAACCCAAAGAACGGTCGCTATAACTAGGGTCCGACTCGACAGCACATAACAAGAAGAAGACAACAGAGGCTTTTAGGTACATGATAACATTAAAAGATTAGGAAAGAGGCTATTAAGAAGTGAGAATTATGGGTTAGGGGACCAAAAGCAAGTGATTCATAAGAAAACGGAGATGCTGACAAAATAGAATTAATCTTTAAAGTTATTACCTACTAAATTATTTTATGATTTCATCAATATCATTCAATCTATGCAACACTGAAAAGAAATCATAAGTTATATATCCTTTGCCTGAATTTTTTTAGATCTACACACTTGTTATTCACAGTGTTAGTTTTAGTATTAAGTAGCTAAGGATAATAGAGACAATATAGAAAACAGAAATGGACAAGAAAAAGGGAAGTAATGTTTGAAAGAATCCATAAGTCTATACAGAAATTTCAGGATACGGGGACAGAACCATAAAAGGGCTATTGAATTTAATTAGTCTTATTTCCTATCTGGTTTGCTCTCAGTCTTATTCTGGTGAGTAGTTCTGTTGACTTCTCATTCCTTGGGATTATCATCAAATTGTTAAGACCTCAGGATGATTGAAAGGTATCTGCAGCCCACAAACTACTTTGGGATAGCCTTCCTTCCTTAATAACTTTTCACACTAGTAATTGAGGCTGTAAGCCTAGTGGTTAAGAGAGTATATAGGTTTGAAGTCAGTTGCGAGTCTTGATTTGTTACTTTCTAGCTACCTGACCT